TGCAAAAAAAAAAAAAAAAAAAAGACAGGTAATACTATCCACATTTTATGTATGAGTAAACTGAGAACTTTATTAATTTTCCTAACATTGCAATCCTGGTAAATGGCAGAGCCAAGATTCAAACCCAGGCTCATCAAACCCAAAGCAGGTTTGGACTGAGAGAGAAGTGATGGCCATCGTTCTCCCCGACCAGTGAGCCCCTTCTTGGGTCCTCTCCTTGTCCTCAGCTCAGGAGCACATGGGATGGGAGATGGTTCTCTCTAAGGATTCCTGGTTTAGACCCTCTGACCCTCCCAGGCTTCAGGTCTCTGCCCTCTTCCAAGCTGGGGAGGGAGATACCACTTATTCATTCATTTGACACAATTTCTGTGCGCTCATTGTGTGCCCAGTTCAGCCTATACTGAGCCCCTAGTCTATACCAGGCCCTGGCTAGGGCTAAGGATAGGGACCTGAGTCAGCCTGCGACTCAGACTGCTGACTGTCCACAAGGGAGAGGGTGCAGTCCAGAAAGGAGTGAGCTCCCCATCACACAGGCAAGTGAGCAGGGCAAGATGGCCTCTTGGTGGGAATGCTGCAGAAGGGACATGGATATCAGAAGGACCGGATGATCTGGCCGGCTCCCCACCCCCTGCAGAGCCCACCTGGTCCCAGCATCAAGTGCTCCAAACTCACCCTGCCCCTTGGGTGCTGGCTTCTTGCCTGTGGTCCCTGCTTCCCCAGTGAGGGCCAGCAGCTCAGCCTCCAGGTCCCCATCATCTTCAGTCTCCTCCATCCCCAGCAGCATGTCCTCAGGGCTGAACTCCATAAACAGCCCAAGCTGAGAGGAGACACACAACAAGGCAGAGGGTGGAGCCCGGCCCCAGAGCCAGCCTCCAGGAGCTCAGCGGCTCCTTCTCTGTCTGTGGGGCCTAATGTGCAGAAAGGGAAACTGAGGCCTGCAACATTACTCCCTGGGATGCTTATCTCCCTGGTGACTCTACAAAGAACCCAGTAAGACCACACTACCATTATGATTACTAGCAACAATAACAGCACTAGCTGCCAGGCAGGGTATGTAGTAGCACTCTATGTGATTATCTCAGTTACTTCTCATAATCCTGAGATACATCCTATTTTCTTTTAAATTGTGGTAAAACACATGTAGCATGAACACTACCATCTTAACAATTTTTAAGTGTAGAGTTCAGTGGCGTTAAGTACATCCACATTGTTATGCAGCAATCACCACCATCCGTCCACAGAACACTTATTATCTTGCAAAACTGAAACTCTGTAAACTCTGTACCCATTAAACAATTCCCCATTGCCTGCCCACCCTGTAACCACTATTCTACTCGGTCTCTATGAATTTGACTATTCTAAGTAAAGGTAGGTCCTATTTTTATCTCCATTTTCAGATGAAACTGAGACAGCCTTGTAAGTGGCAGAGCTGGAATTTAAAATAAGGTCTTGTGTCTTGAGTCTATGCCCTTTATCCTACCACCTCCGTTACCTGCCTCTTTTAAGACAATAAAAATGGGCTAAGAAGTCTCAGAACTTGCACCCAGAAGAAATAAAGGGAGAAAATTAGAGACTCCATCAGTCCCCGACTTGGGCCACAGCCCAACTTGTGGGCAAGCAAAGCTGTGGGCCTAAATGAGGAATCCATGAGAGCACTGAGACTCCATCAGAACACCCTAAACTCTGGCAGTTCTTGAACCCTCCAGATCATTCACATGGAGGTGGCCATGGCAGGACGAAGCCTGGGATGAAACACACGAGGGTTCAGGCCTCATCTCCCACATGTGTGTGGCAGGGGCAGGTCAGAGGGTCTCTAAGGTTTCTGCCAACTCCAGGAGGCATGGCTCAAAGTCTCTAGACGAACAGGGAAACCACACAGGTGACCCAGTTTGCCCGAGTTGTCAGAGACCCTCACGCTCAGACTGACCCAGAGGTGAAGGTGAAGGTAAAGGAGGCTGTATATCCGTACCTGCTTGGCAGCTGCCACACCCTGGTCACTGGCCTGAGGGCCCTTCCGAGGTCTTGGCCCTGGCATCTTGGCAGCCTGGACACTTGTCTAATGGGGAGTAGAAGAGGCTCAGACTGGAGCAGCCTACACGCCCCGCCCCCAATGGGTGTGGTTAGTAAACTCCCAACTCAGAGAAAGAAGGCAATGCTTAACACCCAAGGCTGAAACACCAGCCCTGGAAGTATAGCACTGAAGCAAGCACCATGGAAGATGAAAGGGACGTGGCCACCTGTTAATAGGCTTAAGCGGGGGTGGGGGGGAGTGTGGACACAATAAAAAGTTACCGAACTCACTGACAAATTTGGATTAAACTCAAGTGGTTGAGTGGTGAGTGGCTTAAGAAGGCAGGTTCAGTGAAGTAACTTTAGGTACAGGGTGGGTATAAGGCTGGGTAGGATTCAGAAAGGCTCTAAAACTGTGCTGTTAAACACAGTAGCCATATGTGGCTATGTATGTTTAAATTTAATCAAGTTAAAAATCCTGTTCCATCAGCCACAAATAATGAACATTTTCATCACTGCAGAAAGTTCTATTGGACAGTTCTGTTCTAGAGAAATCTGACTCAGCATTCTGATTCACTCAGAGACCTCACAACCATTCATAGGACCTACTGTGCATCAGAGTGTCCTGGGCATTGGGAGCGCAAGAATGAATCTGACATGGGGTCAGTCCTCAAAGAACATTTACATGGCGGAGAGTCCCTCATCACTGGACAAAACCCACACAGGGCTGCACCAGGGGCCATGGGTGCCCAGGGGCGGCCCCTTACCCAGCAGAGAGAAAAGACTTCTTGGAGACGGTGGTGCCAGTGCTGAGTTATGACGATTTTGGGGGGAAGGAAGGGGAATAGGATTCCAAACATAGGGAACAACCTGATAATGGTTCTGAGGTGACAACAGCTTGACCTGCACAGGAAAACTAAACTGGGATTAGTGGGGCATAAAGTGTGAGACAAGAAATGGTACAAGCGAAGCTGAAAATGTAAGCAGTGGGCAAAAAAGAAAAACCTTTAAGCCTAAAGGAGTTTGGGCATGATTCTGAAGGCAATAGACGTGATGCGATCAGGTCGGCGATTCAGAAACATCCCTCTGGCTGCAGAAAGGAAGGAAGTAGGAGGGCGAACCCCGGCTGGAAGCCGTCTCGGCACCGAGCATCTTGCAACGGTCTCGGCGAAAGGGGAGAAGCTGAGACAGCGTGGGGGCGGCGTTGGGGATGGAGAGAATTGGACCGACTCGAGTTAGGGGGTAAAATCAACAGGGATCGGAGGTTAACTGCATGTGCACTCACGGGAGGGGGCGCTCAGGATGACTCCAGGCGTCAGATTTCAGTGACTCGGGTGAACAGCTGGCGGTCAACTGAGCGGGTGACACGGAGTGAGCGGGTCAGCGAGACGCGCCAAGTCTGCGGCTCCGGGGGCACCGGGCTGGGGCCAGCGGTGCTGTACCAAGCCCGGGCTCAGGCGAGAGAAGGGCAGGGAGTGCGCAGGGGAGGGGAAGCCGGGGACCCCACTCCCGAGCTGCAGGACGCGCCGCCCTGCCCTGCCCAGCCGCCTCCATCTCCCCAGCCGTCCCCTCCTCTTCCCTCGCCAGAGGGCGGGATCGCGGCATACCTCGCGGCGGATCCGAAACCAACCCGGGCCTTCTCCCGCCGGGGACCGCCCAGGCCTCCCGCGGCCCCTGGGCCGCCGAGGAAGCCGGGACAGGAAGCGCCCCGGAGGGAGGCGCCTCGCGCTCTAACACGTGACTCCACGACCGGTGCGGCGCGTATCACGCATGCGCAAGGCAAAGCGGGCGTGGCGCTCCAACAGGTGACTCCAAGGTTGGGGTTGTCAGCGCGCAGGCGCCTTCGGGCAGGTAACGCGAAGTTTTCACGGAGGTTCGTTGTACAGTTCAGGGTTGTCCGGCTGCTTGTGCAAACGCAGCAGGTTTCACCCCTGTCCTTGCGCATTTATTAATACAACTTACCCGCCAAGCTTCTCCCTCACTCCCACTCTGAGGCTGTTTGGGCGCAAGCTCACTTACCTAGCCTCAAGTCCTCGTCCCGCCCCTCGGCGTGTAGGTGAGGATGGTGCAGCCTCCGCCTTAGAGGAGCGGTTTCTCTGCTCACCATCTTCCGCGGTGCCCTGTGTAACTGAGTCTAAGAAAGAGAAATGGGGCTCACCATCTTCTTAATAATTCAGCACTTAAATGTACCTTTTCCAGTCAGAAGGCGGGTTGAATACTTAAGACATGACAGGCAGTGTTCATTGCACCTCTTTATAAAGTCACTTCAGACAGTTCTTACTGTCTTTTAACACCAAGTTCTTACTCCCCTATCCGGCAGGGCAATGCAATGCAATTGGAGGGTAGGGGGAAGGAATCTTCCATCTAAAACCTTGCAAATCACTTCCTCCTGCCTATTTCCTAAACTTTTATCTTCCAGTTTCTTTGGACAAAGAGCTTTTCCACCTCCTTATTGCTTTTTGGTGGTTTCCTGAAGAAGAGACCGTCTTTACTATTTTAAAATGGAACGTTCAGGGAACTCCCTGGTGGTCCAGAGGTTACTGCAGTCCTTGGTCTGGGAACTAAGAGGCTGCAAGCCATAAGGTAGAGCAGCCAAAAAAAAAAAAAGAATGTTGAAAAGAAATAAAATGGAAGTTTCACTCCCATATTTCTTCTCATTAAACTTTAAAATGTTTTATAATGAAACATTTAAGACATACAAAAATGTACAATATTTCACATTTGCTAGAATGCAAACTCCATAAAGGCAGGAGCTTTTGTTTGTTCTTTAACTTCAGTGCCTAGAGCAGTGCATGGTACACAGTAGGCACTAAATAAATAGTTACTATTTATTGTGTGAATTAACAAATACATGCGCATTTACCGCAAGTTTAAGAAAAACCAGTACAATACCTTGAAGCCACCTCGCCACCTCTCATGTTACAACCCTTTCCCAAAGAGATATTCAATCTCCTGAATTTGGCGTTTATTATTCCTGAGCATTTCTACTATGTATGTGTACATCCTTAAGCAAACCACAGTATTTTTTTTTTGCAAGCTTTGACATTTTATCATTGTTATCACTGCAAATATTCTTCAACTCCTTTTTTTACTCGACCTTGTTTTTTGCTTCATCCATTGATACTTATTACTTTATTTTTCATTTCTGTATGTTATCTCACAGTATGAAAATAATTCACTTTTCCAATGGCTTGCCATTACAGTGCTATGAATGTTCTTGTATATAATTCCTGGTGTTTACATGTGTTTCTCTAGGGTATATTCCTAGGAGTGAAATTGGGGGCTCATAGGATTTTATAGACTAAATATTTCCAAATTATCTCCAAAGCAGTTGTTCTAGTTTACACTTACATCAATGGGACATTTGGTTTCCAATTGTTCCATATCACCATGGAAGATTTTTTTTTAATAGATGTGGGAGTGTTTTGACTTGTAGGCCTCTTTTACTATGTTTCCATTTTGTTGGTTATATTTCTTATTCTGTGGATGCCTTATTTACCCATTTTCCTTTTTCTTATTGTATAATGCTTTAAAATATTCTGATACTGATCCTTAGTCCATTACGAGCAGTTATAAATATATGTATCTATGTATTTTTTGAGCTATTTAATTTGTTGCAGATGTTATATTTCACTCATAAATGTCTTATCATGATTCTCCTAAGAACAAGGACATTCTGCTACACAACCACAATAATTTATCACACCCACAAAACTTAACATTTACATAATCCTATTACCTAATACGAATGTAGTCCATAATAATGCTTATAACTGTGTGTATCTCTTAAATCCATGACCCAATCAAGGTTCTTACAGTCTACTTAGCTATTTAGCTCTCATTTCTCTAGTCTCCTTTAGTTTAGAATAGTTTCTCCTTTTTTTCTTCTTTTGTGATATGAATATTTTTGAAGAGGAATCATTGCTTTGTGAATATTTTTCCCTCAATTTTGATTTACCTGATAATTTTCCTCATCAGTAGATTCAGGTCAAACCTTTCTGGCAGGACTATGACATGGATGATGTATTTTCTCAGTAGCTGACATGAAGTTTTAGATGTCAGTTCGTTCTATTGTTGGTTTATCAGAATTAACTTGCAAAGTTATACAAAAAAACCCTACCAAGATTTTAATTGGAATTGATTTCTATTTAGAGATTAATTACATTTATTAGATTTATTCCTAGGTACCTTATATATTCTGTGCCATCTAAGTATTTTTTATTTAAAGATTATTTTTATGATAAATGGTATCTTTTTAAAAATTCCATTTTCTAGCTATTTGTTACTAGGGATTATTTATTACTGATATTATTTCCAGCAGTTCTTTTTTATGTGCTAAGTATATTACACTCACATTGTTCAAAAGTTAAGAGATACATAATGACATACAGTGAATGTCTTCCTCTAACCCTGAAGGTAGCCAACCAGTTCTTTCCCAGAGGCAACCAATATAAGTAATTTCTTACTTACTCTCCTGGAACTATTTTATATAGATACCGTAATTGTGTGCATGTATTTATATACATGGTATGTTACCATTAAATAAATGTCAGGGCTACTAACAGAAATAAAACCCAGAGAGAGGGCCTAGTGTAGGAAGGATGGTTTTGTTTTATAATTTGATGTCTGTAATGACTATAAAACTTCCCAAACACTCCAGAAAAAGCAAATGATTTAATGGAAAATTGCAAAATACATGACAGCCATTGCTGTTCAGTATACTTTGCTACAATGATTCCATGTGCTTAGGAAATGGAAACAGGGCTCTTTAAAAACAACAGATCACAGTTATTCCTTGTGAAGCCCTTCACTCTTCTTTCAGCGCATACAGAACGTCATCCTGGCTGACGTTGAGCCGCACACGAAGGAGCAGGTCATTCCT